TTGGACAATTAAATACTGATATCTCTTACTCTGAATACTGAAGATAACAGTGTGCAGTGTGTTGATCATCATTACCCTCCTATCATATTATTTTATTAGAGTTTTGGGGGTTTTATTTCATTTTCTTTAAAATAAAAAATATTAAATATGTAGTTCTACTCTACTATTTGCTACCTTGTACTTTCACCTTGGGCTCATTGGTTTTAGTTCTAAATACTGAAGTCTGGAGAAGTGATTGATGGTAGAGTGACCAGAGGAACAGCAGCCCTATTGCGAGGAGAGGGCTGACATTACAAAGAGATGACAAAGATGAGGCATTGTGACCCTCAAATATTTGCAGGAAGACATTGTGAACTTATTCTTCTTTGCTACCATGAATGATTACTAATTACCAGGGGACCAATTTATGGCAACTACAAGACTGACTGCCTGAGAAGGGTTCTAGTTGTAGCTTGTGTGAATTGGCAGAGCTAAGATTGTCTGTCTTCATCTGGTCCACCATTGAATTCATAAGGTTTAGAATTAGTATAAATTTATCTGCCTGGCATGTGGTGGGCATGCAGCCCTTTTTTGGTTGAATGAATGTCATGGTAAACATTTATGTAGAATAGACCTTGTCTCAGACCTAGAAATTTATGGATTCATATGACATTTTATGGAAATACTCTGTTGGTTAAAATAATGTACAATTTTTCAATTCAGTTTTTGTATATCTGAAGGGATCTGAGGGTGGAATAAAGTAACTAAAAACAGATGTGGGAGGCTGGAATGTTTTCTTTAACAGCTTCAAGTTAATTAAATCACTTTTCTTAAGGGACATTGAAGAGTCCCTTCTAGGATTATTACAATTTTTCAAATATATATATTCAAACACTACTCATCCTAGCTCAGCCCCTATCATTTTCTTGAGACTGTCCCCACACTTTGGACTTACACAGGGCCTGCTTTTCATGATCTTAAAGGCAATTTCAGGTCTGGGCTATAGTTCGGTGATAGAAGTCTTGCCTGGCTTGTGCTGAAATCCCAGTACTACGAAAAAAAAAGTAAATGAAAGTTAGCTGCAAATACTGTAGATGTGTGAATTCAGCAAAATAATCCAATATAGTCCAGTAGTCCATAATAGTAGTGGTTATCTGCAGGATTGGCAATGTCAGAAGTTGTTGACTTGAGCCTTTTACAGCTCAACATATTAATATGGCATTACTTTTTATACCTTGGTTTTATTCTAAATTCTAATATACTGTATGTTCTTTATCTAAAATTCATATCAGAATTCTGCTGTATGGTTAAGACCAAGATAAAGCAAGACCTATATAACAAAAAAATGTGACTTTGGTATCTGACAAGGTCCGCCAAATCCCCTCAGGATTTACCCTGAATGGCAGTGGAATACCCACCTCTGACACAACTAAATAAAAAAGAGGGATATAAATAAAGGACTATTTTTTTTTTGCTTTTTTAAAAATTAACTTTATTGAGAAACAAATAGCGATGAAACAGTTTCAAAACCGATTAGTAGGACAGTTTCAATAATTAGTACATTGCATATTGTTGTCTTCATAGTGGTTATTCATAGCACAAGATGCAGACATGATATC